GAAATCTTGCACCACTTAGAGTCCCTAAAGTCCCAGGAATTACAGCACTTTAGGGCCCCTAGGTGGTGCAAAATTTAATCCATCAACCGTAGGTATCATGTTTCGGAGTTTAGGGTTCAGGGTTTAGGGTTTAGGGTTTACAGGGTTCCCTGTAATTCCCCTCTCAATGACCCTTTCCAGGGTCAAAAAGGGTCTACAATACCCCAAAAGTGTGGGGTCATATGAACTATAGTCTAAACTCCTTAAAGGGGGGGTTATATGGGGGATTATATGGGGGACTACTATAGGGGGTATGAAGGGGGATACTAGGAGTGTAGATTATAGCTCATATAAGGAAATCTGCGTGCCTTGACCGCCCAAAGTACCCTGAACCCGAAACCCTTGCATCCCCAGGGTGAGGACGTCAGCTGCATGTTTTGACTTCACCCGGGCCAGGCCGTGCTAAGCCATCTGACAGATCCAGATGCGCCGCCGATTTCCGACGAGGCAGAATTGGTTTTAGGGTTTAGATTCTAGGCCTAAACCCTAAACCCTAAACCCTTTTCGTGCTACAACCTTGGTGCTTTATAATAGTTGGGCTTTCTCTATTGAGGGAGCTGACACTTGAACAGTTTAGTAGGGCTTAAATGAGCAACTACTTTAAAGCACGTGCTTTTGAACAAGGGGTTTAGGGTTTAGGGTTCCATCAAGTCCCTTTGCGAGTCAGAGCAGTTTGAACAGCATTAAACCCTAAACTCTAAACCCTAAACCCTAAACCCGAAAACCCCTAAACCCGTCCGTTTCTTCGGTCCATTGAAAAGCCTGCCGCCATGGAGATCCATTTGGGAGTTTGCCAAAATTAGGGGTACCCTTATTGAGGGTCCCCATAATACAGTACCATAGCATATTGGGGTCTGAATTGGGGTCCCCTAGTTTTGGGAAGCTACCATTTATTCAATGTACTAATTGTCTACGTTTAACTGCTGTACTTAGAAGCAGTTACAAGTACAGTTATTGCGCAGGGCACACGTACACCGAACCTCCAACACTAAACCCTAAACCCAAACTCTAGACCAAGTCACCCAGACCTCTGATTAATACACCCTGGCCCCTTAATAGGGATTATAACAGGGATCCTAGTATGAAGGCCCTTAAAATGAAGGGGGGTTATTAATCAGGAGTCTGCAGTATGTTAAGTAGTGCAGACCTCCAAGTAAGCCTCCGGACTAGACTCTCTAAACCTCTCAAACTCTAAGCCAGATGTATTCCGATAAGCCCAAAACCCTACACCCTGTATATCATATCCCTATAAACTTCAAGCCCTTAACCCCATACATACCTATTCATCCCTTCGAACTGACCTAAAAGTGTTGCTTGGTCCTAGAACCCTGAGCCCGAAACCCTAAAGCCCTAAACCTTCAATCTTAAGTCCTAAACCTCAAACAGTAGAGCCTTAAGCCCGAAACCTTAACCCCTAGACCCCAAAACCCTACAACCCTGAGACCTAAGAAACCCCAAACTCTACATCTCAAACACTAAACCCTAAACCCTAAACCTTAAAGCCCTAAACCCCTAAACCCTAAACCCCTAAAGCCTAAACCCTATGTGGAGGCGCAGGCGTCTTCTGAGAGATTCTATGGCTCCCTCTTGGAGACCATGCTTCTAAGCATGCAAATACATGGGGTTTAGGGTTTGGGTTTTAGGGTTTCAGGATTTTAGGGTTTTAGGGTTTCAGGATTTTAGGGTTTTGGGGTCTTAGGATTTTAGGGTTTTAGGGTTTTAGTGTGTTAGTGTTTTAGGGTTTTAGGGTTTAGGGTTTTAGGGTTTTAGGGTTTTAGGGAATGATCTGCATATTGTGGTTTGGTAATATGATGAGGGCTTAAGGTCCTTAAAATCCCACACCCCAAAACCCTGAACGCCTAGACCCTAAAGCCTACATCCGTGAACCCTAAACCCTAAATCCCGAAACCCTACACCCCTAAACCCTGAATCCTAAATCCCTAAATCCTAAACCCCTAAACCCTTAAACCTTTCCTGGTGCTTCGATTCAGTTGGAAACTCGCCAAGTTCAGGCCACGCCGCCTTACATGCTGGCACCTTGGTTGTTCAGGCTTTAGGGTTCAGGGTTTAGGTTTAGGCTTCAGGGTGCAGGGTTTAGGGTTCAGGGTTTAGGGTTTTGGGTTTACTTCTGGGCTCAGGGTGCGGGGTTTATGCTTTAGAGCTTAGGGTTTGCCATTCAGGGTTTGCGGTAAAAGGTTTGCGGTTTGGAATGTTGAGCTTAGGGTTTCGGGCGGGGGCAGGAATGGAACCTTAGGGAGCCTGGAGAGGTACTACAAGGGATTACGCAATATGGGGGAATACCAGGTTACCTACCCCTTGGAAAGCCCTTGCCTTAAGGACCTTGTCATGCTCCATCCTACCTGCTCATACCTTACTTGAACTGAACCACTTTCAAAAACAACAGTAGACAAGCTGAGGAATTACAACCATTTTAGCATAGAATGGGAACCTGCCTCCAGAAAACTTGCACATGTTCCACAGCTTCACTTGTTCGAAGAAAGAAACGGCGAGCCCCAGCAAAATGCAACAAAAGCACAACATCTACTGGCTGCACAGCATGCCCTCCAAGTTCTCCGGGAAGCTCAGGATGTGTGCCTTGCAGGCTTTGCCAGCAACAAGGGAAGCATGCAGGTGCCTCTATACTCTATCTGAACTATATCTGCGAAGTACTTCTAAGAATTCTCCAACTGTTGGGGGTGCACACATCAGCCTTGAGAGAAGTCGACGGAAACCTCTTGCGCGGCTTTCGTGGGCTTCTCGCCCTTGAGCCTAGGTTTCCCAAAAACAAGGGTACCCTTTTTCCTGATGTTCAGCTTTAATAAGGAGACCCCAAAATAAAAAGTGAAAAATGGTACTACTGAGGTACCTAGGAGCAGAAGCACCTCCGTCTCCAACTCTTGTATTTTGGAAGCACATTGCGTGAGCACCCGGCGTAGCTCCCCGCGGAACTCATCACGCAGCCGCTGCTCCAGGTTCCAAATTTTCTTCTCCAGCTTGGCAGCCGACATGGCTCTACTCCTATGGAGAAGAACCGATGCACAACGCTTGCGCAGAAATGCAGCAAAAATTGTGACTCCCTCTTCGCTCTGCCTTTATTAGTTCAAAAATGCACCGATCAAAGGCACAAAGTAGCATTAACCAAGCATAAGCATAAGCAGCCAGCAACGCTGTCACAATTGCAAAAACTGACTTTTGATCCAAAACCCGGAGCTTCACAGCAGTATGGCGCCGTCACATCTGCCACAGTCCGCCTGCAGCCTCCTGACCATAGGAATGTAAAACTCGCAGGGGGGTCTTGCATTAAACATGCTGGTGACAAACAAAGGGGTGCAAGCTTCATTGCTCTGATCGTGACATGACTCAGTTGTTGCTACGAACCCCAAACCCTAAACCCGTGATGGGTTGGCATTGTACATATCCGAATATCCCCCGAGTAAGTGGATCCTTATTGACGTATTGTGCCCGTTGGAAACCTGGGGTAGAACCCTCCTTTTGGCTACTCAAGAGTTTGCCTTTCATCTCAGATCAACATTGTTGAAGGGTTATGATGATTCAGCATGGCACACAAAAGGTGTATGCAAAGCCCAGCCCAATGGTCCACGTGGATCGCGCACGCTTCTGAGCTTGGATGTGAGGGCCGGTTTGGGTGGAAGTGGTGTCCGGGAGGTCTTGACCATGGGTTTCTACTAGATCACCTTGGATCACGGCTAGCATGTCTGCATGTTTTCTGCATACTAGAGACGGGAGACTTCTATCAGGCACATCTCATATCCAGGACAAATCACTTCTAGAAGAATTTATCTTTGATATGGAATTTCAGAACTTAGGGCGAATTAAAAAGGGACCATTTTTTTTACCTTTATGTGCGTTTTCTCGCCTTCGACCCTCACGCATCGATGGCAATTGCTTTGTGCAGCTGTCAACCAAGTTCACATCAAAAACAGCACATGGAGCCTCGAATGACCACTGGTCAAACCGAAGCAGGATGCGAAGTCCCAAACCAAGACATACCTAGACTGTCCTTGGTGACGGTTACCGCTTAAACTTGCCATAGAAAACCATGGGAGTACAATGGAGTACATGACATACGCGCGACTGCATCGTCAAGCCTATTATATAGAATTATATAGACCTCCACATTTGGATCTAATCGCCTATAGGCTAGGCTCTAAACCCTAAATAGCCCTCAAGCCTCAACAGTCAGCTCAAGCCTAACTCTCCAAATCCTTAGCCCCAAACCTTCCCCGAACCTGGCCCATCCTTGAAGTCCCAACTCTTGAAGGGTTAGGGGGTACGTTCTTGCAATCCTTACACAACCCCCCATTCATGTTCTTGCCTAGCAGCATGGCATCCCAGGCACCACTCCAGGATCCATGCAGTTTCCAGACACAACCCCGAACTCCAAACCCTATACCGCCTATACCTGAGTTAAACCCCCACCGTGTAATGGTGAAGTAGACCCAAATACAATCACCATTTTTCCTTTTTGTCACATGTGCTGGGAATGATAATGAGGTCCACCCAACCTATACGTTAAACCTTGCATTTCAAGTGCTCTAGCACCTTGCCTGGGGATGTCAGTTCGCGTGAGGATGACATGGGAAAATTGGGAAAGCAATTGAAGAACCCTGCACTGGGCCCTGATCCTACCCTGACCCTACGACTACCTGTCAAAAGCTCAACTTAAGCCATCTCTCATCTACAAAAAACATGTTGCATGTTCACCTGGCATGGACTTGGTTTGCTATGCTGGGCATGTATTGGGCCAAGTAACGGAATTGCCCCTTCCATCATCCATCATCTATTGAAGCTGATTGAGCCACAATCGAATTGCAGGATGCGCTTGGATGGAACGGCCCACGCCAAAAGAAAACCGTGGACTGTCCTCCTAACAAAGCAGACGCAACGAACATGGACCGAGCCTCTTTCCCAAAGAAACCCTGCCGTTCAGAAGCTCAATGGAACTAGATCTGCCAAACACTGGCTCTGGTAGACCAACCACATCTGCATGTCCGCAAGATTTTGGGGACCGGGACAACCATCCATAAGCGTAAGTGCAGTCCTCAATGTCACGAGGAAGGACTTCAACAGCAAGGCTTTTACTTGGCTAGATGTTTGACACCAGGCTAGATGTCTTTGCAGGGATCTTGAAGGAAGGAAAAATATCCAAAACACTTCTGTGAAGTTTACCCCTTGAATCTTCTTTCTGGGTAGCTTGGGATTTACACATACTTTAGGGTTCAAGCCATTGTGATGCGAGTAACCGTAGGGCTATGCAGATGCACAGTAGTCATGCCGTGTCCTTGGAATTTTGAACCAGCCGCGCTTGTGGTTGCCATCCCATCAGATCCGAACAGCGCAATGAAGACACAGCGCCAGCATGGTAAAAAGTTCATGGCGCAAGTGAAGTCGCATGGGTTTATTTCGCTCTGGATTTTTATATGATAGAAGTGCCTTGGAAGTTACTATGCAGGTGTCCTATCGGAATAATTGATCTGGCCGCAAGAATTTTCGTAGCAATCAACATGATTTCGTGTCATCGATGCCATTATTTCATATTTAGCCAGACATGCGCCGTTTACATAGTCACACGTCGGTGGCTTCGAGGCGGGCTGCGTGGTGTTGGCTAATAATTCATCCAAATGCAGGTGGTAGTTTCCATGCACAGGCGGGCCCCAACATAACCCCAAATGCTTTACTCCTTCTTATGGGAAGCCCCAAGTATTTGCAGTACGCAATCATTACCACCACATGACCAAGAAACGGCGGGCAAGCTTTAAAGTGGAGGCTTGCTGATCCTGAGGGCCATGCCCTGGAGTCAGCATGTGAAAATATCCCTACAAATCGCAATATATTGAAATCCAAGTTCTTGAATCCCAGATGCCGAAGCAAGCACGCCATTTATGTTTTCCGGCGCGGCTCCGCTTCTTTGCTGTAACTTGCCTTCTACTCCACGAAGCTCGCGCGCCTCTGATCGCCTGGAGTTCGAACATGTGATGAATGTTATCCTAAGAACATAATAAGACAATCTTAGTCTGCTTCCCAAGGGTTTAGGGTTTCGGGTCTGCGGAGTACTTCGTAAGTGGCACCTGGATGATCCAACTATTACATTCCCCAAGGTCGATAGCAGTTTCAATTTTCTTTTCCATTATCCGTATAAAACCTCAATATACTACGTAACAGTTTCCATTTTCATTTCCATTATCCCTGAATGAGCGTTAATGACCGGCCATGCTCCGAAATATCCCTATTCCCCTTAGGAACTTTCCTGTCACGTTTCCATGAACCCCATGATTTGGTAGTTTCCCCGAAGAAGGGGACCCCAAAATACTATAGTCGGTTTTCAGCGCTATGAGGGCAAACCATCTGGAGCAGGATCAACACTAAAAAGATGTGATAGCGAAAAAGGGAGAGTGCGACCAGTGTCTTGATGGGGCCATGCGACAGTTCCAAAACCCCAAACCGCGAAGTCCTCACTTCCTCCTCAAATCTGTAGCTTCTGTCATTTGTATACTGCCAGTATTAATATAATTGCTACTGTTGTATGCGTTCTTTTACTGTCGTTACTGTTATTACTACTAGTCAAACTATCATTCTTATGACGAGTCTCGCTAGCAAAGCCCGTATTGTTAGCCCAAGCCCTGAACCCTAAACCCTGACCCCTGACCCCCAAAATCCTTAAACTTTGAACCCTAAATCCTAAAGATCTAGCCCCTTGCCTGGTCCCCCTGCTGAGGGTCAGTGTTGTCCTCGAAATTCGCACAGAGAGACGACCGGTGGTCAAGGTTTTATGGTCTTAAGGTTATTTGTAAATAGAGATCAAGTCTGAGGGTGTACATGGGGCTTAATATCAGGGCCGTCTGCCAGGAATGCTGGCTAGGTTGATGCCGAAAAATCTAATTCCATCCATCATTGTAAACACAAAAGATTTCCGCATGTCACACTGTAATAACTACAGCCCCTATTAGGGCCCCTATAATCGCCAAGCAAATCCAGCTTCGACTTCATTGTCCGTAAACCCTAAACCCCACAAAGTTCAAAAGCTTCCACTTTCTGTCCACTCACCCTGTATGTCCCTATTCCCTCTACCCTAAACCCCAAACAATATAGTACTTTCCCATCTTTAGACCATTACCCTGGTATATCCCTACATAATCTCTGTATAACCCCATATAATCTCCATGCGATCCCTATATACATAACCCAATATATTGCCTATCTGATACCAACATGTCCCTCCAGATTTGAAAAAACGGATAAGATTTCACCCGTGACCCAGAACCTTGTAATTTGCAGGGTTCCGGCTATGTTCAGATCATGTCAACACCAACGGTGTTTCGCACGCGCGCAAGTCAGAAAATTATCCCCATCTCTGCTGCTGTTGGGACGCGGGTTAAGACTCAAAGCTCTCACTCACTGTAAGACATATATACATATATGTGACAGTCTCTACAAAACCGAAATTGCAATCGCTTCCCCCTAATATCAAACGACACCCTGTCCACCCGTCCCCCCCAATACTAAATAATCCGAGCTCCGAAAAAGTATCTAATCTTAGGGTGGACGTTTATTGAAAGCAGGACAGAGGGCTGCCTCTCGAACCCTTTTAAACTATGTTCGAAACCAACATCTACTTAAGCACTATTTATGTACTATGCTTGAACAAATCGAGAGTTCAAATGGAAATATGAGAAGAGGAAAGGCTTAATTACTTCGCTTATGAAGCAGTTAATGACCTCAGAACCCAATTCATTATTAGGTGGCCCCTTTTAGCAGTAGTCTTCCTTTTCTACACATGCTCGTCAGGATTTTAGGCCCCTCGGCACGTGCGTCGCACTGCTGCTAAAGCTAAGGTTTTAGGGTTTAGTACAGTATAACGCCACGATTCCTGGGTTTTCCGCGCAAGCCTCTAGGCACAAATAAGCATGCTTGAAGCCAAGCGGACGCTGCAACAGCTTATCTGAGCCCTTCCACTTCAACTTCAAGCTGTCAACCCCTACTTGAAAAT